GACGAAGACGTCGAAACAGCCGAAAATCAATAAATATCATTATCAACCTCGTGTAAGCTCATCAAAGAAAGAATACATATCTAAATGTAGAATATGATAACAGTAGCATTAGATTGTCCTTACCGGGAAGTAGCGCACTTCACCACCACACCATCCGGGTCCTTCGTTTTGCCTATCTGTCAGCTAGTTCTATTGATCTTTTACCATCAGCAATCACCCGTCAACGGGATTGATCTGGGGAACCCAAATCGACATTGAACCCAGTTAAGCTGAGGCTTAGTTATAATCACAATCCCGGATGGTGTGGTGGTGAAGTGCGCTACTCCCCGAAAAGGACAATAGCACGTTCGTTCCCCACCGCATACACCTGCGGTCTGGAGTTTTGCAAATATCTCAGCATTATATACGAGTTATATTTCGCAACATACTCTGCCATTAAAAAGAAAAAGGCAGTAAATAAAAGGGTTAAGAGAGTAGCATTAGAAGTATTTAGCTGAAGATAAAACTGGGGCCTTGTTGTTTGCATCTGAAATAACGGGTAGCATTGTGGGAGTCTGTTGTGTAACTGATGTTAGCTTTATCAGCATATAGTTTATTCTTATTCAGGATCTAAGAATGTCGAACATTTAGATGCATATTGTTTCTTCATACCATGATGATGGGTTAGTTTCAGGGAACGGTCAAATTTCTTGTGGAGAGAAACGTTTTATTTCTATTGCTGATCGAGACGCATTAAACACCGTCGTACCGAAGTTCCTTAAAAACTGCCTGGTTTGTTTCCCGTGTGTTACTGTTTTCCTCTCGTTAAAATTTATTCTGGACTGTGTTTATGTTTTTTTTTCTCAAATCTCTCATTGGACTGCTTTTACTTGCATGTCAAAATTACACTGTGCAGTATGGTTGGGAATTTCTTTTATTTCAGGTTCCTCATGCTGAGCGGCTCATGCGCACGTTGTTCGAACAACTGGCTGCTCGAAGGGGATTAATCGGAAAGTCTCTAACTAGCGGCATGAAAAAGTGGTTCGGTGGTAGTTCAGGTTCAAACTTGTCGAGCATTTCTTCTGCGAGGTTGGTCATATTCTCCTCTTATTAGACTATAAATTTTTTTTAAATTGCTGTACAGTAACTTCGTGCAGTGTTAATGAGTCTTTAGTTTACCACCTGAATGTGTGGAGATGCAGAGTCGAAGATTAGCCGATTTGGCGTTTATGTTCGGCTTATTTCAATTTGCATATTCACAGTATCGGTCAGTGAGAAAGGACTTCGAACACTGTCAAGCGTGGCTCCATTACGCCGCAGCGTCGGTGCGTCCTCTTTATACCGTTCTTCCAGACACCTCTATGTATTTCACCAATTCGCCTCATATCAGCGTTTTATTGTATCAGTGTTGAGGACAGAAAAAGGCAGTCGTGGAGCTGCCATTTATTTTATAATCTTTTCTCGTTTGTTCTTCAACACTTTAGCTGTCTTCTGTTGTAACAAACATTTTTAGGAAATGGCAGCTGTTGCCTTGTATTTAAGCGATAATTCCATTTCACCGAAACAGTTCCCAAAGCACTATTTCGAAGTAGCGCTGGAGAACCAAATGAACTATTCTGGGTAATCATTCGCTCGTAGATCGTTACGATTTTTGGAGATTTAATTTTAAGGAATCATTCCACCTTATTCTTCTCAATTTATAGCAAATACACGAGTATAATGCGATGTGCCTTGAACGCAGCTTCAGTGTTAAGCAGTATGACTCTTTTTAAAGAAGCAGCGAGTCTTATATCTTCTATTGCCAATATGGTCTGTTTTTTCTTATCTTTCTGACTGGGTTTTTTGTTGTTGTTGTAGATCTGTTTTGCTATAAGTTATGCAGGACATTGATATGTGTGTAGCTGTGTTACAAGCACATGCATCGAATTACTTTGAAAGAGCGAACATGACAAGGAAAGCTGCTTTCTATCGAATTCTTGCAGGGAATCGTTTTATGAAAGCAGGACTTAAGCAGAACGCCTTAGGTGTGTTTTCACTTTAAATCCATATAACACCATTTGTTTCATCTTATTTTAGAATGTTATCGACTGGCTTTTCTCAAGTACATCAACACTAACTGGGATTCTATCGAGGTAGGATTCAGGAGCATATCCACTTGTTTCGGGGCTTTAACAAGTTGCTAATATATTTAGGACCACCTGTCTGCTATTTTATCAACAGACTCATCAAATAAGAAGTTGGCAATTGATTGTGCTTGTCGTCTTTTGAGAAAAAGCGATGATCAGTCTGAAAGCAATCATTCAGCTTTTGTCGATAATTTTATAGAGACGTTTACACGTCTCAGAACTGATGCTGAAGTAAGAATCAGGAGAAATCCACTTTTTTCTCTTTATTTTGTTTCAATAGATAACTATTTAGGTAGACGAAGTATGTCTACCTGTTCCGTTAGTAGATGCTCAAGAAACGCGCGTATTTTACGGTGAACGACCCCAACCTGATGAAGTCCCAGTAACAAGCAACATCTCTTGGTTGGATATGGAGCGCGCAGCCTTTCATGCCTTAGCTGGTACGTTTGAAGTCGACGATGTCATATCGAAAATTCATGGTGGTATTTTAGGCGCGTCATCTGTATTTCGCCCTACACATCTTGTTAGTGACAACGAGACTGACAACCAGCGGGTGCGTAGTACTCCACCAGAAGAGAGGTTTCGAGTGGAAGTTAGCCTTCGAAACCCGTTGAAGACACCTTTGACGGTACAGAATGTGACACTTGGAATAACTGATGTTCATATGAGAGAAGGTGTGAAATAGATTGCTTAAAAATATATTACCGAGAAACTGTACAGTTACATTCTAGGTGGGGAACATCAGATGCCATTTACAGAACGGGAAATAGTGCCAAGTATTACGATTCCGCCAGAGAGATCGAGAAAGGTAAACACTTTTCAAGTTTCGAAGGTGTGTGCTAGTTGAAATCTACGGAGGTTTAGGTTTTGTACAGTTCTGTTTCTTGAACCTTAACCAAACTTATTCATCATGTTTTAGATCATGTTATGGGTACGCCCTAGTTGTCACCTCTCCGGATTCCGAGTTGGAAGCATATTATTGCAAATTGTTGGCTCTAATCAGGCTTCCGTTTCAGGATTTTTGCCATTGAAAATCAAAGGAAAGCGGCTGAATACGAACCCCAGACAGGTGAATGACAGTAGGCATTTGTCCTTTCATTAAGTGCTTATGTATGGTAGAGCAGAATTTACATCAGATTTACATGCTACTGTTTTCCAAGACGAAATGAATATATTTTTCCTGGGTTCCAGATGAAGTCTGTGGTGTACGCCGTAGATGAGCGTTTGCGAGTTTCGGTGGCGCAAAAACGATGGCCGCTTCTCGACTTTAATATTGTGCGAAAGAACCAGTCGGAAGTCTACTGTGGACAGGCCGTGGTGCTAAGTATTGATGTATGTTTACTATTACTTTCTTTTCGCCTTCAGTATCTAGTTGTCTTCTCAAAATTGTGACATTTCTCGAGCGTTATTATTATGTCATCGAGATTTGTTGACTTTTTTCTGTGGGTTGCCTGAATGTTTCAACGCATTTGTCGCCTTAGTGCGATCCCGTTTATTCTTCGAGTGGCATACCCCTAAACATTTCGCGTTTCGCACTATCCCGTTGGTGAATAAAAGAAGTAAAAGGTCTATAAAAGTATCTCATTCTATATATGACCCTTTCTTTTATAGTTATGTGCAAAACTATAATCCAAAATTATCGTGCCTGTCCATTTCATATTATCCAGGTTGAGAATATTGGAGAAGAATTGGTTACTGGTTTTTATATCGGCACCAGTGCTGTGGACTGTGTATCTGCGCGGATTTTGGACGAAAGGGGAAATTGGCTAGTCCTTATAATTTTCTCAAATACGATGCATTTGATTTGGGTTCTGTGTTTCTTATAGGAAATCAATCAGTTCATCATATGCACCGACGTGTAGCGGAGTACGTTCTTTTGAAGTAGAAGATCCTCATATCCACGTTAGAGGAAAAATGAAGTACGTCATTCTCTTCTGGTTTTTTATTAAATAAAGCAAGACATTCTGTTTAACCAACTTCCTAACTAGGTTGCTTATAACTGTGCGCGCTCCAGCTCCAACGGGATGTGACTCTAATGTAGGGTTACTGTTCTATTATCGTGGAGAAAGTTTGATGTTTCGAGAGTGGCGAACTGTGATATCATTGCGTCCTGCTCCTCTTTTTGAAGCTTCAACCGTTGTACTTGGTGGGTTTTTTCTCAGAGGATTCCTTAGAGGATTCATGTTTTGCTGAAGTTACCGCACTCAAAATCAGATGATGTTCATGGCATTACTGCAATCAATATGCGAAATGTAATGCACTCGAGTGATGCCGCACTCGCGCGCTGCGAAGTGTTGCGTATTCGCCTTGTGAACCAAGAGATGGACAGTAATGGACGTTGGAATGAGGTCGGCTGTACAGCGGTTGCTATTAGGCCGGTAACACACGGGCCAGGTAAGATTCTGTCATTTGTATGCGCCGCTGTACACATAATTCCATGAAAGCGAATAAATCCAGGCAAAGATGTATGTTTATTGGGATTTCAAATGCTTTAGGTAGGCCTAAACATGCTTCGTTGGTCATTCCTTCAGGGATGGACGCGTGTGGCGAAGTGGTCGGAGGCGCCACTGCGACACATACATGGGGTCGATCCTATACCATAACCCACCTAGCCTTCCATCGCTTCGGGGTCGGCAAATTGATATCAGACTTGCCTGGAAGGATAGCAGCACTGCCTCGATACATCGCTAGGCCACCGCGAGACATTGTAAAGGCCAGATATGCATTCAATCACCTTCAACGATACTTGAAGTCGAATGCATGGTGGCGCATGCCTCAGGGATTGATCAACGTCGAGAGTTTTATCCTTTATTTATACATGCTTCATTGTTTATTTCTGTGCATTTTTCGAATATGCTACCTATCTGCTCCATGTTTTCGACGACTAAAAATCTTCCAACAACATTAAGGAAGTATCGTAACACAAAAGTGGAGTTATTTGATAAAGTTACAAATAATTGTTTCTAGGTGGAATTGCCGCATTGTATTCCAGAATAGTTCCCAATGAGGGATCGATCGGAAATTTATACAGTGTTTCGGGGAAGAAATTTTGTTTTTCTTGTTCTTATTTTCTTTGTTTGATAGCTGGGCCTATTTTCCCGCGGGGAAGGTAATGGTGAAAAAAATCTTTTAGGTTATTGCAACTTTGTTGCAAATAGGAGATAAAGATCCATTCTCGTAAAATTCCAGGGACTTGGTGGACAGTTGCAAAAACGTGTTTTTCAGTGCAGCTAGATTGTGGGCAGTCGTGCAATATATGTGTAACTATTTCTATGGCTCAAGAAGTTAAAACTGACGAATGTAATGACTTCCAATCGACTTGGTGTTTGGGTGTTATTCCTCCAGATGCTCCTTTTTGGCCTCCACCAATACCTGATGTTTTCAACGATGTGAAGCAGTCTGGAGTCAACGAATGTATTCATGTGGCACTGTTCTGGAGAGCTAGTGTTGTAGATAATGACGGTCATGTAGGTTACCACTTTCCCGTTTTTTGTGTGAACAAATTTTTCATGTAACAGCCATTGTTCTTATTTGTATTCGTATAGGTCTTGTCAATTATTGGTGAAACATTTGTCCCGCAACCACTGATGCTTTCTAAACTAAGGACACACGCTAAGATCTTGTGTCCTGCATATAAGGACACAGTTTCTGCGAATGAATCCGTGGAAAACGTTGATTTCGAGAACAACTTGCTTTCTTTATTCACTCGTCCTGTAAAGCCTGTTAAGCACGATTTTGAACAAAACAGGTAATTATGAAGCTTTACTTGGATTCTCCTGGAATTCGTTGCATAGAATTATTTGTGTGTCCATAGGTTATGCCATATTCCTCTTGAAGTACTAGTTACAAATGTGGATGTTCTGAAACGTGTCGTCAATCTTACATTTAGACATATGCCCAAGGTACGACTTAGACGTGTTAGGTTTTATAAGCAAGAGAAATTTTTCATTCCCTAGGTTTCTGAAGCAGTAGTATCGCTTACGCAGTTACCTCCTGAGAATCGGCAGCAATGGTGGATTGATAGAAAAGTGGTTAGAGCAGTTTTAAACAGTGACGAGTGCCGTGTATTCCGTTTCGTTGTTAGGTACCGTTTGAGTTGTGCTCTTTTTTTTGTAATGAAACCATAAATTGTTATTTTTAAGTGTCTCTCAACCGTCTGTGTATGATTTGGCAGGTGCTCAACTAATATTGGAAGCAGATTTTGGAAATGGAGAATTGAGATCGTTTAAGGTATTCACACACACTAACTCGTCATAACATTTTCTTATTGAGAATTCTAAATTTTTTTCAGGTTCCGAACACACTCGTTGTAGTGAGTGCCTTATAAAAGCAGGGATGGATTTTAGGTTTTAGTCATCGTGTGTGGTCTCAAAGGCCTTAGCATTCGAGATATTACTATGTGAAACTTCGTGTTTGTCCCGTGTATACTAGTTTTATGAAGTTCATGAAGTCGGTAACAGCTATACGTGTTGAATCCTCCGATTTGCAAACTTGACGGGTCTTTACGCTCTATGAGACATTCTTCAATTCACTATTATATCAGTTCACTTACTGAAATGTATGTAATTTATGTGCAAGTTTTCTTCATTTCTTTGATGTTGACATTGAGGAATTAATGAAGTTGACAGAAATAAGTAGAAATTTCCCAATGAATGACTCATCCATTCAAAAATCAATAGTGGTTCTCTACCAAGCGGTACCTTTGGTCTTCTGTTAACTTCTGTTCTCTAACATAAAATTTCAAGGCATTGTATTTTATAACTGTTGTGTATAGATGGCATCACAAACGCAAGGGATCCAACAGTTGTTGGCTGCAGAGAAGAGAGCAGCAGAGAAGATAAACGAAGCAAGAAAGAGGAAGTTCCAGCGTATGAAACAGGCTAAACAGGAAGCACAAGCAGAAGTCGAGAAGTATCGCCAGGTCAGTCTGCTTCACAAATTTTAGTGTTTGGCGGGGGACTACATGCATTTATTATTGAACCGTACGTAACTTTCTGAGAACCATTTTAACACGCACCGCCTAATACCTCCAAAGATACTGAGGAATGTCCACGCGATTGGATTACGTCCAGGATCTCCTGGCAATATTGTGTAATTGAGTGAGTGAGCGACGATGGTTACGCAACCAACATTTCATCATGAAATCTTTTCTCCACATATGATGTGGCCCCATCATCGTACATCAGTTCCGTTTGTTTTGATGTTTTCTATCATGTGAGATTTCGTATGGTTAACCTCGTCAATTGCGTGAGTGTTGACATTTGAAGAGACTTTTAATTTTGCATGTATATATTAAGGAGAGGACCTCGAACAATGAAGGGTCTCGTTTCAAAGTGGGGTATCAGTGTCTGTTGAGATGACGGGGCTCATTGGGTAAATGAACGAACTGGAATTCATTTACAGCCCATCGGAGTCACTCATTGTTTGGACGCGAACGAAATGTATTTTGTAGGAACGCGAGCGTGAGTTCAAGCAATATGAACAAACGTACCTTGGCACAAAGGAGGATATTGAAAGCAAGATTCGTCGTGACACCGAGAACGAGATTGATGGAATGAAGAAAAGTGTTGCTGCCAATAAACAACTGGTTCGTCAATAGCGTTGTCGTTGCATCGCTGTTAGATTTCATTTTTCTTCGGTAGTTTGTCTAGGTCTCTATTTTAGGTCATTGTTCGTTTACTACAGCTAGTTTGTGATATAAAACCGGAGCTACATCATAACCTGATACTTCAGAAGAAACTTCACGGGCAATTCTCGTAAACTTTAGACAGTGCTTCCTATAAGAGCTACAGCTATTTCGATTTACTATTATTCCGCACACAAATAATATTCGTCGTAAACATTCCACGAATTCCAGTGTCGTTTATGTTGTGATATAATTTCATTTTGATTCCGGATTGCGTATTGTAGTGCTACTTACACAGCAATAGTATTGTATCACTTAATTATTTTTTGTAGTGGCGTAGTTTCAGATGTGAATATAGATCCACGAAGAAAAAGTTTTATGTCGTTGAAATTTTCTTAATTTGAGGTTGTATCCACTAAAGTATCGAGTTTACACACTCGTAAGACCACTTGTTGTGGAGATCCTGGCTTCTTCCGAAGTGGGTTAATTACGTGAGTCTGTGTCATGTTTTAACCCCGTTGCGACAACGACCAATTTCACGTGGTCGGGACATTGAACCACGCCTAATTTCCGGTTATTACGGACTTACTAGTTTTTTGAAAATAAACTATAATTTTTTGATGACTAAAGAAATTGGGGTGTTTTGAGCACGATGGTGTTGTAGGGAAAGCTTTGTAGTATCGCCGTATATGGGTATGAAGAGCACGCACATCGCTGTTGAGTGCGGTTACTATTGTCCCTCAAACGACCACATTTCTGTCAACAATTGGGAGTGCTTTTTGGCTTGTTTCGATATTTTTCTTACTCGTGCATTGTGTACGACAGTAGTGATGCGGTGCAGATTTCTTGCTGACTAGTGCCAGATACCGACGTCTGTGTCCTACAAGCTATCGATTGACTATGGGAAGTCTGCGGGGGGGAATCTGTGCGGCGAAAGTGCACGATCCATAGCGGGAACCGGCGTACACATAACTTACCCGTCTACATGGAATTCGTGTGATGGGGTATGTGATCGGTTTATTTCCAATGCTCCATCCATTTCAAGCTTTCAGTTTCTGAGAACTGCTCAGATTCATTGGCGCTCTATCCATTCCATAGCTTTCCTTCTGCAGTAGATCATTCATTACTGGCAATGTGTGCTATAGGGTTATGTCACCTTCGTATCAAAATTTGTAGCGTAGCTCATCATTCCACCACGAGATAACAATTCTTTGTACCCGAGAAGTGAAAAAGAGATGCCTTATGGGAGTAGAAAATTAGTACTTTTATTCGAAGAAGGACGTGAGTTGTGAGCGTTTTTCTTACACGGTTTATGGTGATTGTGATTAAGCTTCATGTCAGATTTTTTTGTAGGACCAATTCATAATATTACGGATTGAATGGGAATAAATCTTATACATGAGTAGAAATTTGAGACTATTTATCAAGTCCTGTGGTTTTGTGCTTCTATGTATTATTACGAATTTCCGATTAATGACAAGGTCATGTATAAGTGTTATTGTTTTCGATGATTGAAATCACTGTAAACGATCGGTTGGGGAAGAAGGTTCGAATCAAATGCAATCCGACAGATACGATAGGTGATTTGAAGAAGCTGATCGCTGCACAGACAGGAACAAGGTTGGTTATCTAGTTGTATTTAAGGCTTATTTTGTTGTATTCTCTTGGTTGATGGAAGGCTAGTAGTTGTACAAGTTAGAGTGTAAAGTGCAAAGGGTTTTGGCATCGAGTAGTACCTTAGCGATGCCCCGTACACTGCTACAGAGTTGAGCATAATAGACGTGACCGAATGTATTCTTGAGATCTATCGAAGTTCCCCTGCATATGCTTCAATTGTTTTTTTAAATGTTGACTTAAAAGGTGCGTGAAATGATGAATCACAGCTAAAATAAGCCAAGCATACGAAGTCATATGCTTGGCTTATTTTAGCTGTGAATATGCAAATATTACGGTAGTTTTTTAGGTATGAAAAGATCGTTCTGAAGAAATGGTACACGATTTACAAGGACCATATTACTCTACAGGATTACGAGATTCATGAAGGCTTCAATTTCGAACTGTACTACCAATAATTTATGCTGTTCTTATGTTCGCTTTATTGATTTGTTAATGCTGTAAACGCATGACATCTTGCATTGCTCGTTGGCCATGTGTAATTTATTTGATTGGAACTGTAGGCCTTTTCATGTATAAACGACTTTTACTGTCAACATGACGAATGTTGCATGCTGTATTTTTAAATGGATTTTCTTAGTGAGGTGCTCTTAAAATCTTCTCAACGCTTAGAGAGCGACGTTCAACATCGTGTGGTTACGAAATCTGACTTTCAGTGCGCGGAAAGTTGAACTTGAACTAGGACCAACACAATCTGGCTAGTCAGAGCTCCTTTTCCCCATTATCTCTACCTCCTGCAGTGGTAACAGTATTTTGCCACTCATTTGATAACAAGACAGGAAAGTTCATCGCAGTGGATTGAGGAGGTGTATCAGGTCATTGAGGTATGGGTTATCGAGTTAGTCTTCGGTACCGACTCATTCCTAGCTCAAAGTGGAATGGTCGACTATGTACGGATTTACCACGTGGGACTTTTTAACATTGCCACAGAGCACGATCACAAGCTGAGATTATAATAGTTTACAGAAGTAATCAGACTACGATATTAACTATGTGACAATATACAGAAGAATGAAGGATATAGGCGCTAGTATCAAAAAAGAGCTTTGGTAGGGAGGTCTAGTAGCGAGAGATGTGGAAACGACTGGAGAAGGCTAAAACTAAGATTAACTTCCGAATTGGAGAGGCTGCTTATACACGTATGGTGGGCTGGGTTTAGCTAGAGTAGTTGAAGAAATGGTTTTCAGGAGTGGTGGCAGAACTTTGGTCTTTGGACATCACTAAGCAATGCAAGACAACTGCACTTCCTGATGAGTGGATAACTAAGCCTCACATGCATTTTAGCTTAAGAAGATCACAAGTGAAGGATAACTGTATATTCGATCCAGAAGAGAACTAAGGATAAATGTGGTTACCAGCAAATATAGTTACTTTAGGAAACATACAATAGTCTAGAGAAGAGGACCTATCAGGGGAATAACTACTATGAGAGGCGCCATGGCACGTTTACCACAGGTTTCAGTTGCTTGCCCAACAAACTCGTACGGAGAGCACTTCATTTCAACCATTGTTTACCTGCTGAGCAGCTACAAAGTTGTGATTAATGACTATTTCTTCATAACGGCTGAGATTTCACCTTCTTCATAACTTGGAAAGGTTAAACTGAGACGTAGTCTACTCTGTCAAACACTTCCGTAATCCAAGCAGAAAAGCAATTCGGCGAAAAGACGATTATGAAATGAATGAGCTGAGATCAACTGGTGCCGATAGACATTAACGGTACATGCGGGAATGGATTCATGTGGGATGCACAGATATAAGAAGCCTTAGATCGTCGTTAGGAGTCATTTACACCTGTGAAGTTAACAGCGATGTTAGTCATATTCACCTAGGTAATGAAGTAGCTATCAGTGCAATTTTTTCTAATGCTTGGGTGATAAGGTGTTCAAAGGTCTACGAGCCACTTTGTCCCATTTTGCTAAATCAAAACCAGCTCAGTTAAATTTTCCAAGAGTATCCGATGTGAATCCGTGTATAATATATATTTTCTGCAACCTTAGGGTTTATAGGTGGATCAGAAGCTCTTCGTCTATAGGTCTATTATCTACACACCATGATCCAAATTTTGTGCTTAGAATCTCATTTTCGTTACATTCTTTTTAAGCGATGATTATGAAATCACATTGCAAAAAGGTCGCAGAGAGAAAGATGAACCACTCACATAGTGTGGTGGTGAACGTGTTAGCCCCCGGAAAGGGCAATAGAGTGTTTGGTCCTCACCGCAAATACCTTCGGTCAAGAGCTTTGCAACTATCCCAGCACCACTGTGGGTGTATTTTACACCACACCCTGCGATAAAAACAATAAGCAGTAGATAAAAGAGCGACTACATACTGCACATCTATTTATGGTAGGACATAAAAAAGTGGAAGTAAAATATTTATGTGATCACAGTGAGTCGTGTAAAAACTGCAGAAAGTGGTTTCGGTTCAATAAGACAAGACACTTGGTAGGGTTTCGCGAAATGGCGGATCAGACGACTTGGAAAGCGAATCAGGCTTAGGTAGGAAAATGTACAATAAAGAGCTGAATTTTTCAAGTGAAAATTTTCTAACTAACAACAATTTAAATGTAGATAATACTAGATTTTCTCTTCTGAATGTAGCCTTTCTTCTTTGACGGTTCTACCACTGATGAGTCACGTCCGAAGAAGCTTATAAGTTGAGGGTGTAATCTATAAAACAACTACTGAAGTGGCACTGCCCATGTAGAACATGTATCATAATAAATGCAAAGATTTTCCACTTGTTGAGATCAGGTTCGATCTCCTGGATTTGTTTTGCTGTTAGATGTACAGCACGCCTACCTAAAGTGTAGAGGAGTCCCTCTGGGTTGCTCGAGAATCTCTCCATCGAGATTCCAAACCCCAGGATCGAGTTGGTTTTCATCTGCTTCAAAAGACCATCTCAAAACTCGAAAGCAACAGAGAGTGCGGTCGATTTGATACAACTAAATGTTGTAAGTTAGTGAACTGAACAGCTATGTTCAGCCAGTATAGTTCGATTGCTTAAAAATTATGTTTCCCTAACTGGAACAGTCAATAGAAATGCGAAATGAGAGAGTGAAAGGATTAGCTGCAGTGTAATACAGAGAATCACTGGTCTTCATAACAAGACTTAAAGTCAAAAACCTACTCCTTTTCCTCCGTACATTGCAACCTTTCTCATAAATTGTATGTTATGACATCTAGAAATCCTTGGAACAAGAGCGAGATCCAGAGTTCCGTCACCAATCCCTAAAAAGAAAGACCTGCTAAAAAAGCGACATATGCTGATTAAAATACTTGAAACGAAGCATAAATAGTCGATTCTCCATGGAATTCTGGCGTAACTATGCTACGGTGGTTCCCAGCTTTTCACTGCAAACCATAGTCAGCCATTGAGGGTCGCACTGAGTTCTTTCCAGATAGATCCGGTATCTCTTATCCCCACCTAGGGGCGCGCCACGTAGCCTCGGGACTAACCGGTTCGAGAACCCTCATATGAGGGAAAGCCGTGGACAGAACAAAGTACAGGTTATTACTAATTATTATAGAGAATTTCTCTATAAAGTAGAAAATTCTCTATCTACCTAACCAATGTTCTCTACAATTCTGGGTATTTAATAGAGAAACTCTCTTTGGTGACATAACAGAAGATATGTTCTGGCGGTACCATAACTATACCACTTGGCGGCCCCGAAAGGAATAACCAGAATTTGCTAAACCGACTCTGTCCATTTCCACGCGGGACCCCAATGGTATTACCAGAATTGGTTAGATAGGAAAAATTTTTAGCTTACGGGATCATCACCCGTTCTTTAGCATAGGTCATCTCCGCCCCTTCTTTATCGGTGTAAAAGGTGGGCCTCCCACATCAATCCATTCGTGTTGCACAAGTTTCCACGTCATGTTAGTGTTAGGCGACCCATTAGTTATACGCAACGTTGACTACTGAATACACTTTTGTCACTTTGCACAATGCTTGGACCTCTTATATAAGCAGTTGCAATATTTTTATTGCAACTTTGTATTGTTTCCCTTCTCCACAGAAGTTGCTAAGTGGTCTTGGTTGAATAGTATCTATATTAGATCCTCTTTCGCTACCCACACCATCTCTTTCCTCAGTAAAAAGCCTCCTATTATATAACTACCTATTCCTTTCGATAAATAGCAATTATTTTATATCACCTATACGGTTATGACAATACTTCATATACTCAGTGAGCAAGCATCATTTTGCAACAGTAATTGCCTGTAGCCTCATGTACTACATTAATCCCAGAACATTACTGCCGTTGTATTAATGTCGGTAGTATAGAGACAAATGGTTTAAATTCCCAAGTTTCGAGGTTGCTTTTGTACAAGCGGGAGCAAGTCCCGCGTGGCATTTATTAAAAGGCGAGCATTGAACTTCACTGACTAACCAGTAAAATTTCAAGAACACTCGAAGCCTACGGCTATGCCGTTTCGGTCGGTATGGATCCTATTCGATTCTTACTGGACAGACAAAATTTAGCAATCGCCTTGGGCGACTCACGTTCAAATCCAAATTTTTAACTGATTGAAACATTTTATATTCTTCCTTGTACTAGGAGAGCACCACTGGAGAACTCAATGAATTTTGGGACACCGTCAGTTATTGTCGTCCCTGCATCGTTAATATGAGCGCGTATAGCACAGTGGCAATGAGCATTACGATACATCTTTGGTTTGATGCCACTCTCCAGGCTAAGTCTTCTTTTTATCCGGGTCAGAAAACTTGCAACAAATTAGTCTAGGGGAATAAAAGCACCGATTTCATAAAAGGGCAAGGTTGCGTAAGTCACCACATAAGACGAATATGGATTGAATCACCGCAGATGGTTAATGAAGTTGAATGTGTTGCCCATCCCATCAAACCCGTTTTTATGCTTTACAATTAAAACCTTACCCACAATGTCGCGAATATGTTACTTAAGCTTTAACATGTGTTCAGAATCGACACCACATATAATTTCGGACAAAAGCCATTCTAGATCACTTGTAAGAACTGATAGATTCAAATGAACTGCTATTTACATTACCGATTTGTTGTCTACAATCTGTAAAATTTACCTCGTTTACACTTTGGCAATGAGTCCTGGTGTTAACAAATTTTCTAGACGAAAAACACATCTCGAAAAGTGTTTAAACAATCCATACCTGTGAAGGGTGCTAATCCATACGGCGTAAACACAGTAACAGTAGGAATTACGCAACAGATGACGTGTGTGAAATCAGTGTACCAGTGAAAATCATAACGGGGAGTGGAAGTTGTCTGTGAAGTACCACTAAACTTCAGAAAATGTGAGCTGACGAATTAGCAACTCTGAACTCGAGATTTGGAAGCGGTTCATACCTAGTAAGAGCATCGCAAGTAGGACATGGCTTGAGGCACAAAGGCAGCACTTCACTTGGGTCTTCGGTTTCTTTACGCGACAGAGAGAATGACACTTTCCCACGATAGATAGGATGGCGAATTGTTGTTCGCAGAGCTGAAAACTGCAGTCAAACTGTGCGCTAATAGTTCCAGCCCAAAGCAAACCCATTCACCGCTCCACTGATAGCGGATTGGTCCCAGCCATCTGTAGCGCTCCGAGTCCCTCAGAAGGTCGCCCAGCCAGCCGTACGAGATGGCGTTAGCCGAGATTCGCAGCAGATGGTTGTTTTCGTGCACTGTGCACACATCAACGTTGCACTCGGAACCTAGCAACTACAGTAAATGAGTGAGGATTTGAAGGAACCGCAGTGACGTCTGAATTGATGAGCCACTGACTTCTTTAAAAGTAGAATAATTGGCCAACGCATTAGAAACAACCTACATCTAACTATGTAATCAAAGATATCAAACTGTGTTTCAGCGGGAATTGCATGTGCGAACAGTGGTGGGCGCTCAATAGAACACCTTCAGACTTGATATCGTGGCCGAGTTTGTGGTGATAAAACTGATGCAGGATAAGGATATAGGATATATAGGATATAAGGATAGGATATAGGTAAAGGATAATCCTACTTTATGAGATAATGGTCGGAAGAGAAACACAAGAAGAAAGTGACCGGCAGTTTCATAAATGACAGAAAAGGGGTCGCAATCTGAAGAGATTTTAGGCGGCAGAACAATAAAGGCTTAGTGTTAGAGCGCTGACGTGGCGAATGGACGCATGTTCTAGGGAATGAATTTTGACCATGTTTTTTCTCTGGATATTTCACCTATGCTAAATCTTTCATGGATAATTCCACTGGTCACCTATGGCGATGTGAAGTGCTGCAGTTGCGTAATCAGTCGTTTCGTGAACAGTACTGACGATCGAATTCGCAGATCCCGCTCCAATGATTCCAAATCTGAGGTGTGGCGTCTGTAACTGCTCTGAGTCGGGATCATGAATGTCCTTTCCTGAAATGCGTGTAGCTATTTAACTTTTAACTTTAACACTCAGAGAACGAAATGAACTGAAATCCACTCACTAGTGCCCAAAAACGACTGCGCTTTCTAATTCTTATCAAACATTTCGCAGTTCTATTATGATCTTAGGAAATTATTAGCTTGAATAAGCTACAGATCGGTGTAAAAGTAAGAGGCAAATCCAGTAAATCGTCAGAAAGGTGAAACAAACTCCGTACAATAATCTCATCTCATATTATTATGAATGCAAAAATTTAATCAATGCACCAGAATCTTCTTGTGTTCTTAGAAGAGCACCAGACAGTAATTCGTTGAACAAGCCATCACCACCGACGGAAACCTGCAAAAGTAGTAATGTTGGAGACATCTTTCTTAACGAAAATAGATCGACTTCTAATTTACGCCGTCTTTGGATAATTCTTCATCACGAAATTGCTAATGTTCATCTAAATTTGCCGCTGTAATGGAACTATAGATGGTTCTTTGTTTTCAGGTGTTAGCTTACCAAACCATCCACACACTGCCATTGATCCGGTGGCATTTCTAGGATATAGTCTTTAGCATGATTCGCTCTCTCCGTAAGAATCACTTGGAATGAAAGGCACGGAGTAAGTTTGAAGAAAGGTTCTACCTAAAAACGACGTATCGTTAATTACAGAGACTGAGAAATTGCTCCCATACTAAAACTGATAGACCAAAACCACATCATGATAATATCTCTAGACCAAGCTTCAATCCATTCTATTCAGCAATTAAATGCCCAGGATTTAGTATTTCGTTAAATAGACTCCTCTCTGCTCTTTAGATTGGATTTCCCTATCCAGCAATACGTACGAACGAACATTTATTTACAAGTATACCGTAATTCCTGAGCTACACAAAGATTATGTCCAGGAATTACATCTAGTACAAAATGGTCTATATTATACCTTTATAAGAGAAGTTTTAAGGTGGGTAGATCATAAATATCGATGACGTTTTAAAAGAAAGGATTCTGTCCCTGATTTAAACACGTACGAACAATTTGTAAACAATACATAATTCTGGAAGATCTGCTGCGCTTTGCCTTTTCCACCGAACGGATTAATGAACACGATGATGTTCTTCGGGCGGTTCCGCACTCCTGAAATTCTTCTTGAGAGCAAATGCGGTTCTGCTGATTTCTAATGCCACCTACCGATCAGCGTCGCCGTCACGATGTTCAACCAGTAGTTACGTTCTGAACTCGTCTTAAACGTTACTGGTAACTGCTTTAATCGCCAACGATACTTGTCCTTCTTAAAGACGAAGTTAAAAAAGAGTGTTGCTTCGGTTGGAGCCAGCTAAAAGCAGATCTTTGATCATAGTTGATGTAATCGGGATAGCGGTCGGATAGTGGACAGTGGTATTAAATAATTCGATCGCAAATATCAACTGGAAAAAAACAAATCAAGAAGTAAATGGTTATAAAACTGTCTGCGTATAAGACTGACAAGTTAAAAAGAGTTTTCACGAAATGTATAAGCAATGTAGAGTTAGTAAACCATTAATTGAAAACGTCGAATTCCGCAGACTTTTCATAATAACAGTAGCAAAAAATAAAAGGATAAAGTTCTCGGCGTTAATAAATCGCTGAGGGATGCATCATGCATTAGAATTCATTAAGCATCGTTTAGAGGTTAATGAATGCAAATCTGGCCTCTACAATGACTCGCGATGGCCTACCGATGTACCGAGCCAGCGCTGCTATCCTCGCAGACAAGTCTGGTATCAATCTGCCGACCCCGGAGGGATGGAAGACTTGGTGGGCCATGGGCGCGGGGATCGATTCCACGTGTATGTTGCAGGGCGCCTCCGATCACACGCACCCCATAATAACAATAATGCTTTTAAGAACATTGCTTAATGTAATGAAGCTCGTGGGAAGGGTTTCCAATAACATGCTACTACTGCTTTTAATCGTTCGCACCACAGTCGGCTTTAAGATGAGCTTTGTTCTAGCAAAAATAAAGTACTTTTAGACGAACAACTGTGGACCATCGACTCAGATCATCGGCTCTGAAGAAAACGAAGACGTCGAAACGTCAGCCGAATGAAAGTTGTACATCTAAGCTGAACAATACCAGGAAATTTCTTGACTACTCACGCCGTACTTAAGCGAAAGCCGGCTTAGTAATGTATGAAGTACTTAATTATCTTCAATGAAGCTGAGATAACAACAGTACGTCACAGCATACTATGGGGTCTATTTCCTAACATGTACCAACAATACCAGAACCATCTCTCCAAAGATCGATCTTTCAGAACCATAACAATTATAATAAGCCACAAGTCGGTTATCAGCTGGAACAAAAATGCCACCCATAGATGAAGAAAAGTAAGCCATATATCACGTGAACATCTGGGGTGAAATTCTTCTCTGACTAATTTTCGCAGTGGACGCGATCGATGAGTCGGTAATGTGGCGAAGAATGCCGGTAAGTGATATGAAGGAAAACAGGAGCAGCTAGAGGTTACAAAGATCTTAAAGGGAATCCACCTACACAGTGTTCAGACATACTTATTTTCACTTCAAGCTGGAACTGGATTGTGGAATAGGAAACATAAGCTCAGACAAACTCCATACAGATGGTAGAACGGTAACATAACTGGAAATGAAAAGAAACCTGAATGGAAACCAGAACTCCGAAGAGCTACTAAGAACGACTATAGTTGTTTTATAATTGTGACTAACTCATTAGTGCCAAAGTGAATTACAAATGATGCACACGTTTCAGGGCATGCTGGCAAGTAAGTCATAAATTAGCATTTTGTGGCCGACTGTTTTGCCATATGAAGATTTTTTACTGCATTTTCGCAACCACTTGACAGGTTGTCCAACACAGATGTTGTGGCGGGGGTTGACTCGGAAAGCCCCTATTCTACTTGGATACTTGGATGGCCCGTCTTCACTGGTTGTGTGGGCTCCGGAATTATTTCCGTTTCTTCGGAGTTCTGCTGGTCTAGCCATTGTGATTCCGTGGAGTCCTGAGGTTAACCTGGTCAAACCCTGCCCCAGGTCGTCACCACCACAAGTAGTCGCAGATTTTGTAGATTGGAGGGAGATTTGCCACCACACGACTAGTTTGATATCAGGACGATGGTGGATTCTGGTGCTGGTTTACTTTTAGGTGGAGGTCCTTATGGAAACGCCAAACTCCTTCTCAGCTTAGGAGACCTTGCCAGAGGATAAACCCCCTTGTACATCGCAGCCCGACACGCAGGTATACCTTCTAGCCACGATAAGGCGGTAAACCGCTGGAAGAAGCCTCTATTTTACACCTAAAAATACACAGAAAAATTTTTTCTGACCAAGTTTATCGATATCATGGTTGATTTTCTGTTGTTTCAATTCCAATCGCCATTTTGAATCAATGCTACTGACCAGAATCGATGGTGTAAAAAATATTGCAAGAGACTCAAAAATCATCAACATGCACTTCCAAAACTAACAGCAACGTGGTTGTATTGTGGACCATAGTAACCCATATAAAGTAGCAGTATACATTTCATACAACACCCCTGGAGCAGTATGTCAAACTCTTTGCTATAATGCCCACCTTTTCAACTACTCAAATCCTTCACTTATCGAAAAACTATCGCCTATTGTCCAAAAATCAACAATGTGTAACCGCCATGATCAATTTTCGAGGAACAAATAAACTAGTGGGGTTATCACATAGAATTCATGCAAAATTCTGTTAAATGCTAACCGAAGAGGAAAGTGATGCAAGGAAAAAAGGGTTGCGTTCTAAGCCCACACTTGGAGCGCAACCACCCAAAGTGGACGATGATAGCAGCCTACCTTTTCCTCGACCACCGGTACTCCTCGCCTGATCCTCACCGGCGTCGAGCGGACGCAGAGCAGCTCATCAAGGCGGTACGTGATCGAGTGCCGTGCAGTTTTACTGCAACAACATTCGCTAATAGATGACAGTAAAAACTTGAAACACATTTAGACATTAATACAAATATATCTGGAGATATTAAGTGAATAGGAAGCAATTATAGAAAAGAAAAAGGTTATTTAAAAGTGGATAATGGAATAAAAAGCTCCTCAGATCTCATTCACTTGACTTCTAGAAAGTATTTCACGCAAGTGCAGCAGTCGTTAATATCAACTCCACATTCGGGACACCATCGCGTTCTCTTCAACGAAATCCCGTCTGTTCAGTAGCTTCACTGTGCCAAACATTATTAGGCCTGTGTAAAAATAGTGGCCATTTTCGCCGTTATGAATTTTACAAATATGTTTAAAGGAGAAAGGAAAAAGCTCTCGGCGCTGATGAATCCCTGAGGGATGCGCCAAGCATTCGACTTCATTAAGCATCGCTTGAAGGTGACTGAATGCATATCTGGTCTTTTCAACAACTCGTGGTGGCCTGCCGATGTATCGAGCCAGTGCTATTTATTATCCTCCCAGAAAAGTCTGGTACCAATGTGCAGACCCCGGAGGGATGAAAGGCTTGGTGGGCCATGGGCGCAAGTTCGATTCCAAGTGTGTGTTGCAGGGCGTCTCCGACCGATGCGCCACACGCGCCCTAGATAACCATGAACTAAGAAAACAGGCAAGTATGCTCAGCATATTAAAGTTATTAGTAAGTACGAAATCTCGCTAAAATAGCTATTTTCCATAATTTCTTTGAAAATAGAACATATAGGGTACATGGACAGAAGATTCTGTATAGGGCGCCAAATTTCTTTGCAATATTGACCAGAGCAGCAAATTTCGTCATCTATGCCTTCGGTATCTGTGCAAATCTACACTTTGGGTGAAAATTCCTCGAATATTTGCACCTTATGCGATGAAAAATATTTTTACACTTACATCTATGATTTGCCGCAGAATAATGGACTTCTCAGATATTTCACCTTAACTTCTTCCATCTGTATGCATAAGAATAACTTGATGAAGTCGTACGTACTCGAGCAGCTCGAAGGCAAATACGTTGATGTCGCGGTAGAATACGATGCGGTGGTTCTTCCCGTGTGGAGAGGTAACCTCGGCGATCAGGCTACCGTCGACACCCTCGATCCGACTTCGCGCCGAAGGCGGCACTTCACATCGGTCGCGGTCGCCTGAAACACTATTCAAAATAACTGAGAGACGTGCGAAACAAAGGACCCGCATGGTGTGGTGGTGAACGCGTTACTTCCCGGAAAGGATAATAGCGCGTTCGTTCCCCACCATAGACACCTGCGGTCCAGAGTTTTGCAAATATCTCAGCAACGTTGTGGTTGTATTTCACTTAGTAACCTGCCATGAAAATTATGAAGGGCAGAAAACAAAACGTTAAACACTATTCAAAATAGTTCAAAAGACCGACTTTATATGAAACTCGGCATAAAAAGTTGTTATATTTATTTATACGATCTTATAAACTGATCTTTTTGAGCTGATGTGAAGTTGGTATAGATCTTTTGTTGTTGTTTGTTGTTGTTGTTGTTGTTGTTGTTGTTGTTGTTGTTGATGTTGTCGCTATTGGTGTTGCCGTTCTATGGCTGACGTTTCGGCGATTTCGCCTTCCTCAGAGCCGTGCTGTTACGAGTGGAACTACTGAGGAAGCCGAAATAGCTAAAACGTCAGCCATCGACCAACAACACCAATAGCAACGACAACAATAATAACAACAACAACAACAACAACAACAACAACAACAACAACAACAACAACAACAGCAACGACGACAACAACAACAACGACAAAGACCTATACCAACCTCGTATCAGCTCAAAAAGATCAGTTTATAAAATCGTATAAATAAACCAATCAAAATACTAATTTTTATTCTACTCCGTTATTCCGGTGCTAGGTGGGGCAGCCCAATGGTTAGTGATGCCGTTGATTAAGAACCAAAAGCGCTAGCTCGATCCCCGCCTCAGCGCTCTCCTCCAATCCAGGTGGGAACGGCTTCGCCCGGCTAACTACAGGAGTGGAAGGACAATTCGCTTGATCACCATCCTACAACAATCGTAAAGAAGAAATCCTCAAGCAGCAGCCGAAGCAACATACGAAATATTCGAAGACCACTGCGCACGATGAATGCGAGGAAAGCGAATCGAACACAAGAAGTGCTGCGATCCAAACCACAAATGTGATGATAGGTCGTGTAAAATGAAGTAAATAATATTCTGGCGCTATATCACATCACATACACGTTTTCGCAGCTCATACTGCACAAGATCATCTATTGGTTGGTGCAAAAGTTCGTCCAGTTATTACTACTACTTTATTATTACTTGGCCGCCTCTTGACATCTGCGTCTACAAAATATCACTTAATAAGCGTCATTTGAAAGTACTTATAAAAAAGAAAGCAGCGTCGTCAGTAATTTTCGAGCGTTACGATTTTTACGATCGGAGAAAACCGAATTTCCGAAATATTAGGATTTTATTTCCGAAAAGAAAAGAGCAAATTCTTTAGTTTTTTCGGAAGAAAAAAGTGAAGATTAAAAAACTCATGCAATAAATATGAAAAAGTTGCTTTGTCCAACTGATAGTCCTCGTTTTGTACGTGGTGCAAATGTTTTCGCGAAAGTAGTTTTGGTTTCGGCAAGTCGCAACATTATAGACAGCCACGCAGGACCCCCTACAACGAAGAAATCCCTGCTTTACTTCACAGTGACTGAAACCGAAAGACTAAAAAAAGTGTAGAAAACCTTGCCATTAACGAATGACCGCTTAAACCATGTGGGATGGTGAATAGCTCCGTTGTATGAGAATGCAAATATTTTCCAAAAAAAATTTAACGGAATGAAATGCTGCCTCCGATACCCTGGTCGACAGTAACAAAATCGGTTAACATGAACAACTGAGTCCCGTGACCGATTTTCTATTAATTCCTGCGTAAATGGTGGGATCGAAACTGAACCTTACATAATGAGCTTCTGCCAGAAAACCGAGTTAGTTACAGATCAGAAAATGGCCAAACTAGACTGAAAACAAAACGCTGTGGTTCTTCCACCTTAACCAATAAACCTTGCATCCTCTGATTAGCAATAAGAGACGATACGAACTTTAGTTTCTTCGAAACCTTTAAAGAGCCGTACGAATTAGTGCTTTTTCTAGAAATCTTAGACGTTCAACGAGTGATGGAGCATTACGTACTTGGATACGTGGATGGCCCATCCATGAGTGATATGGACCCCAGCACATTCTTTATTTGTGTTTTTCTCACAAGATCGATGTCCATAGCGCTTGCCTGCCTCCAGCATAATGATGTCAGTGAGGCCCATTACATTATCTAAAAGAGCGATCGAAGTAGCGTTAAGTCAAGAAGGCGAGCACGAGTTTTTTTGTCGTTAATTCTGCTGTCCGACTGCTGGGAGACTAGAGCTTCCACATTCATTACACACTCTACGTATAAATGGTATGTGATTCGTGTAATCACGGAAATATCTAGTTCGATCCGTTTAGCTTTTCACCATAGGTTGTCATTGAACTGGAATTCTTTCCGGTTAGTGCGTAATCCTATAGTTTTAGCACCTAACCCTTGTTGAAGTTCTTGTGCACCGTCGCTGCTTCACCAGTATTTATCAAAAAGATTACGATCACGACACCAAGAGGAAGAGTTGTTAGGAATTTGTCCATCAAGACGTATGCCATTCTCACTATAATGAAATGATTTTGTTCTCCACATAATGGTTCCACCTTATCGAACTCCGCCTTTCGCTTTTTCTATATGGATGGTGAATGCTTAGTGGAAATGCTGTACTTTTAGGCAACAGTTACCATAACAGTGGTTCTTATATAGAAAGCGGCCACTCTTTGCTCAACGAGCGCTGGTTCGACGGTATTTATTTCGGCACTATCCAAAGTTTTTCCATAGCGGAAATTAGTACTAGTCTGCATTAGTATGAAGAATTGTTGGTACTTATGTAGACCCATATCACTCTAGAAACACCTAGATGTGGTGTATGACATCTTAAAGGGAAAGATCACACGTCAGTGGAGAAGCTCGCGCACTGCCTTTTTTTAAAGAAGTGCGTAACCACCACCCGAGTTCAGAGAGCTCCGCATCCATTCCAGGAAGATTGCCCCATTGTGCATATCGTGAACTTTAGAAGATGTGTGATCAGTTAGGCAAGCAGGATTTCGACAAGGATTTTCCTGCTTGGACATCAATTACTTTTTTCATTGAACTGAATTCTACCGTGTTTCCTGTATTAGCTTTCGTCGACTACGAGAAAGCGTTTGATTGTGTGGAAATGAATGCAGTGCCTTCAGCATGTCTACCAAGGAGTGAATCCTTCCTATATAAGAGCTCTGACTGCTACAGCAACTGCAGCACAAAAATACAGTTTTTCCATCGACCCATTACCAAGCCCATAGAGGAAGGATCTGGTAAGACGACACTATCTTGCCAAAACTGTTTACTGCCACATTGCGGTTCATAACGTAACCACTCAACCAGGGTACAGCGCGCATGTAATTGAGACCTTCCAATGTTGAGGCACTTTACACAAGCTATCTGCTCCAAACAAGAGGAGATATATGATACAAACATTTTGACTTGAGCAAAAAGTCAGAATATATGAAATTGCCAGAGAGAAGTCTAACGTCCAAATTAATTGGTCCAGAAACAGCCACATCACTCATTGATACCAAAAACCAAGTAAAAAAACACACTAGCTCCTTACTTCCCCTATTTTCATTCACATACGAGAACAGCCAGCAATTTGCACATAGAAAGAGAGCGCAAGGAGGAATGGCCTAACTTGGCACGAAAAAAAGACTTCTCCCTCCAGTGGCTACGAAACAGTAGTTTCTAGGGATGGTGCAGAAGCCTTGCCCCAAAACGATGTCTGAAGAAAGTAATGACTCGTTTAACCTGCGCCTTATTTCCAGTAAAAGAAACGCTGCCATAAAGCAATATCTTAGAAGAACCAGCCCAAAAAATATGATGCGGAAAGCGGGGAATGGCCAAGTGACGTGTTGGGATCCTTCATGAGATTACTTGATGGATAACACGTAAGTGCACGACAAGGAAAAGGCACCGACTTTTCGTGATGAATATTTCCTTCTGCGTATGACGGATGTCTTGTAATCTAACTGGCGCAGGTCGGTCTTCCTGCAGAGTTTCTCGTTAATACCAACATCTAGAGGGACTATCCTGATATTATAGGTGCAGAACAGGAAGCAGTCTCCATGACGGGTGGTGGGCATATTCGTTTGCTCCGGTTTCAATGACGTTCTGTACGATCTGAGAATTAATCGCCTTTCTCCACCAGTCTCAATGCCCGACGTCGTAGACGGAAGCTCCCACTGTCGGGTTACTGAATCTGGTTTGTTGACAGCTCGGCCATCTCTGGTTTCCTGGCGGCACAGACTCCCAAGGCTAATCTAGCTGAAGCGTTCCTCAACCCGTCGTCCCAGACAGTCACCGGTCCCGACGGATCAGAGACTTGCTACCATGCGACCAGCTTCAGAGCAGGAAGGCCGTAATTGCGTGATTTACCATACACTTTATGATTTACCAATAGCTAGCCTTTCAAATGGAAACTTCAAGCTCTTCCCTGTCTTCGGGACACTTAGAGGAGCAAACAACTCGCTGTAAATCGCAGCTCAATACGCAAATGTCCTCCAGCCACAATGAGGCAATAAAGCATTGCGTGGGAAAACGACTTCGTAGTTATTGGAAACAGACAACCGACTTACTGCTAAAGTGAAGCCGCTACTTTTCCTACTACGTAATTCATATGAAAGATGTAAATGAAATCAGAACCTTATGCAATAATTGGATAACATATAGATTGTTGATATAACACTACATATTCGAAGCAACGGTTGTCAAACTGCAAGAGCCGCCGTGGAGCTCTATAACAGGGGTTATAGAGAACTTTTCAAGAGAGAAGTTATCTAAATAATATTTGAAGTCCAAATATGGCCGCCTCGAAGTCGCACATCAAACACCGCAATGTAACCTTTTTAATCTTCTCGATCAATTATGTTCAGTGTTTCAGTCACAATAGCGATTCAGGTTTGACTTCAGTAGCATACCGACGATAGCTTATC